TCCGCCCAGCGCCTGTGCGGGCTCCTTGCAGTAGACGGAGAGCACCGGTGGCAGTCTTAACTGTTCGCTTGGTTTTCAGAAAGAACTCTTTGCCCTCCCCTTCAGAACTTGTTTTGTTACTGCTTGTTTCTTGTGTATACTCTTGGAACCACCGCAAGCCTCGGCCGGCCTCCCAGGGCAGCGTGTGGGAGCCTGGCCCTCCTGCTGCCCCTGCTCCCCACCCCAGAGCTCCTGGCCGATCTTAGGACAGGCCCCAGAGGGCGGCTTCCCAGTTCCACCAGTGCCATGGGGGAGGGACACAGCTTCCTGGGCAGCTACTGAGTTTTCTTGCAAGAAATTTGAGGTCTTTGAGCCTGGAGAGCGCAGCTCCAGGGTTCAGGTACCATCCAACCCAATGAATGAAATGGGCTTGAGGCATCCAAGTGTGGGTGCGACACGAGTGTCTCTTCCCGTCGTCCACATTCCGGTGGGTTCTCGTTTCCTTGGCAGCTGGGCTTCCAGGATCTTTGCAAGTCAGGGTTGGGTGGCAGCAGTCCTGGAGCGGATGAGCTGGACCAGCTCCAGCGCATAGGCGGAGGTAGGAGTTGTGAAACAGGCAAGGGAGAGGCAGGCAGCGCGGTGCACCAGGTGGTCGTCGCTTGAGGCAGCGGAGGGGCCACGGGCCTGCCCTTCGGTCCCAGCAGGAACGAAGGGCATCCTCTGACCCGGGTCTGCCAGCAGGGCCGAGTGTAGGCAGAGGGCAGAGGCCACCTTGGAGGCAGCAGGGCGGTGGCTGTCGGAGCAGCGGGCTCGGCGTGAGCCTCCGGCAAGGCGCCCTGGCTGCAGTGTGCTGCCTGCGGGCCCGGCGTAGCCGACACCCAGGGGCCTGGGGACCAGCCTGGAGGCGGCCACGCCTCCGAGTCAGTGGAGGGGGCACTGTGGTCGGGGACCCTGGGTCCTTCCTGTGTGGTGCTTCTGCCACAGGGAGTCATGGTGCCCGCCTGTTCCCGTCGCTCGTTGATTTTCTCATGCCAGCAGATTTATAGTGAACACACGCATGCCCACCACCAAAGTAAGTAACGTGGCATCTGTGGAGGGTTTGCGTGCAGGTGTTCTGCAACTGGCATGTCTCTAAGGAGGGGTGCACCTGACAGAAGTGTTGTAGCAGCTGGGACCTGGACGGTTGGCCCACGGGCTGGCAGGTCCGGTCACGGGATCTTGCCCAGGACGGTCCCCTTGCCCCAGCGTGACCGGCACCCGCCTCTGCGTGCACGGTGGATGCAGCGTCTGCTCCCAGGGGGTCCCGGCCCTGCCGACCTGAACCGGTCACGGTGAAGCATCCCCATGTACCCTGGGGTCTGGCGGGACCCACGTGGGTGGGCCCTTCACACGAACGCTCGGGTTTGCTGCTTGGCGAGCTCTTGTGAGTCGTGTATGTCATCCTAAATTCCAAGTTGAATTGACATGTGGCCATCTGGGACATCCTGGGGGGAGGGCCCTGCGAGTCGAGTGCAGTTTGAGGTCTGAGGACGTTGGTGGCCATGGGCAGTGCTGAGGGTCGGAATGACCCAGGACCCTGACACTCGTGCCCTGTCTCTGTCCAGAGTCCTGCGTTTCCTATGTTCCCCTGACGTGCGCAAGGGTGTGTCAGCTCTCAGGGTACACAGGGCATCTCGGGGCTCGTGCAGGGAGCGCTAAATCAGAACCAGCTGGCACTCCTGGGCATGGGGCGGGGGTGGGGGTGGTTGTGAATTCCAGTGCCTCACACATGTGTCTGGTGCCTCCATTTCATCGTTCGTAATCGGGGACGTCTAAGGCCTCTTTGGGATCAAGACTTTGACAAACTATAGAAAACAAAACAGAAGAGGGCAGGGGTTGAAGGTTTTACGTACGAGTTTGAAATAGTCACTTAAAATGGATAACTTAAGGGACGCCTGGGTGGCGCAGTCGGTTGGGCGTCCGACTTCAGCCAGGTCACGATCTCGCGGTCCGTGAGTTCGAGCCCCGCGTCGGGCTCTGGGCTGATGGCTCAGAGCCTGGACCTGTCGATTCTGTGTCTCCTCTCTTGCCCCTCGCCTCGCTCACATGCTCTGTTTGTCTCTCTGTCCCAAAAATAAATAAACGTTGAAAAAAAAAAAATTAAAAAAAAAAATGGATAACTTAAGAGTAAAACCTAAGTATTTCTAATAAGGTTCATCGCAGAGGTTTGTGCTCAGAGGAAGGATTCTGTGCTTTTGCATTTAGATTTCAACTGGGAAATTTGACAGAATTGATCTTGGTTTAGCTCAGGACACCCCGCCCTCTTCAGGTCTTGGTGGTTGTGCATTCTCTCCTGCACCCAAGTGGTGGTGACGCTGTTTCCCAGGGTGTTGATGGAGGTTGTGAAGGTGACTGAAGGTGCTCCCCAAAGAGCGCTCACATGTCAACAGAATCATTCTCCATTTATTGTCGCCTGATTTTTTTTTTTTTTTTTTTAGGTTATGTTTTAGCTATGTTTGAGAGAGACAGAGTGCGAGGGGGCAGGGGCAGAGAGAGAGAGGGAGACACAGAATGGGAAGCAGGCTCCAGGCTCCGAGCTGTCAGCAACAGAGCCCGACACGGGGCTGGAACTCACCAACCACGAGATCGTGACCGGAGCCAAAGTTGGACGCTCAACCTTCTGAGCCACCCAGGCGCTCCAAATCATTCTCCATTTAGAATCTTGTGTGAGAGCCTGACACCCCTGGCCCTCGCTCCTCATTGCCATTTTCAGGACCATGTGGTTGTGTCAATGGAGTGACCCCTGAGGGGTGAGCGGCCCCCGCTTTGTCCACGGTGCTTTGCTGGGCAGCGCATTCGATCCTGCCCTGAACCTGAGAGCCAGGTTTTGCTTCTGGACGCAGAGTGGGCAGGGAGAACCTCAGGTAAGGGGGCTGTTTATTGGGTGGCCCGCTGTGTTTCCGGCCCCTTCGGAGCATTGATTCCTATCCAGCAATGTGAGCTAAGGGTGGCTGGTGGGCCCCGAAAGGAGTGGACGGGGTGGGCGGGGCTCCCGGGTGGTTTCAAAGCAGGATCGGCCTCCCTGCCTCCCTGCTGAGGGACTGCAGGTTGGGTGTCTCCTGGGAGAGCACGTGATGTGGGCTTGGCCCTACCTTTGGTCGCTCGCTGGCTCCTCTCCGGGAAATGACTGTGAGCACGGGGCTCATGGCCAGGACCTGATGATCTCTGTGGCCCGGCAGCCTCTCCGTGTGGGGCCAACGGTCTAGCAGCCTAAGCTCAGGGAGGCAGGGTTCCAGCTTCCCATGGAGACGCTGGGCTCAGCCTCGGAGGGGGGGCCCACTGGGAGTGGCACCCAGCCGACCTGCGCACCAGCGAGCCGCCCGCTCCGGGTGCGCGGCCTGAAAGCCTGAGGGGTGTTGGCGCTCAGTACCGTTCAGGAGCCAAGGCCAGCTTCCCCCGTTTTAAGCCTTTAAGGTACATGTATATTTTTAAAGCCAGCACTAAGCAAGTAGGTCAGACGCTAATTCACTGAGAAGTGGGGAAGGTCAGCAGAGGGAAATGATTTGTCAAGAAGCAGTCTTAATTCTGGCTCTTTTATAAAAAACACAAACCTCACCACTCTACAAATGTAGCACACGCTCATTATATAAACGGAGGGCAGGACAGAAAGAGGAGACGGGGGACCCGCGAGTCTCGCCAGCAGCCGGCGTTGACGTCTTGCTCTAGTTCCCTGCTGCCTGTCGTAAGTGTGACCAGACCCGGGTCCTGCCCGCGCCCGCGCCGCTCCCGCACTTGGCGTTGTGGGTGTCGCCAAGACGCTTCTCCCTGGGCTTTTGCTTAAGCAGCCTGAGACTTCTCTTCTGAATTGGGGTGTCTTGTTTTGTTCTGTTTCCGTGTTCTGTACTTTCCTTTATCGCTGCCACAGGATGGAGGCCCCAGGGCCGCATTCCCAGCACGAGCCCATGAGGTGCTGAGGCCCCTCGCCCCTGTGTCAGCGTGCCGGCCGCAGTGTCCAGGGTCCGTCCACCTGTCCACGGCCCAACCACACTCACCAGCTCTGGAGCGTGCTGCTCACGCTCGGCTGCTCAGACGCGGGGTTTTTACAGAGGAGGTCCTGCCTGTGAGCGTGAGAGTCAGTCTGATCATCTGGGCAGTAGCCCAAGATCAAGGCCCCGGGGATTTTTGGGGTCTCGGTGTAGGGCCCCCCACACTTCCTGTGGAAATTGAAACCTCCCAATGAGCCCAGGTAAGAGCCCCACGTCCTGTCGCTGCTGCCCGCCCTACTGCCCTCGGAGTCCCTCCGACGGAGATGAACCCCCAGGAAGAAACTGGTCTGGAGAGCCCTGGTGGGACTCCGTGGGGGAAAGTGCTTAAGTGCCACCCTTCAGCTGCGGGGCCGGACAGGCTGGCCTCTCGCTGGTGGGGGTGGCACGTCCGGGCGTCAGGTTACCCGGGGCCCAGCCTGCCACACAAGGTCACTTGTTCTTTAGCGTGTTGGGGTCCCGTCAGTGAACCCGCTGTTCTGGGTCCAGGCGGGCTCCCCCCGAGGCAGGCTCGGGAGGAGGGCTCTGTGCTTGCCTCCGGGCCGGGCGTGCGGGAGTCCGTGTGGAGGCAGCCGAGGGGCCAGCCTGCCCACCCTTCCTGTGGGGGAAGCACAGTGTGATGCCGGTCCTCGAGCCCACAGTCTGGCCCCACTGAGGCCTGGGCCCCGTGTGATAGGGACGTTCCCTGGGGTGCCCTGTCCCCAGCCAACCACCTGCCAGCTGTCTGTCGAGGTAGCAGCGAGCCGATGAATCATTCCTGAGCTTGGTGATGTGCACACGTCACGTGCTGGACTCTTTTCCACCTGAAGGTGGGGGTGGGGACGAGTCCCCCTTGATTTCGTGTTGTGGCAGCACTGTCTCTTTCTTTCTAGACCTTGGGTCCTTGGGCCTTGCGTGGAGAAGAGTAGGGGTCCAGAGAGACAGGAGGCAGGGGTCCTGGGACAGTGTCTGACAGGTGCTTCTTAGATGGGGGTGGGGGCGTGGGGGTGGAGCACGAGGATGGACCCGGGAGGTCTGCGTGCAAGCGGTGACCCGTCCTGGCCGGAGTTTGGGCGGAGGGCCCGGGTCCTGCCGCTGAGCTGCAAGGCTCCGGGCCGCAGCGTCCCCACACCCGGGGTGCCGTCACTCCCCCGCAGACGGCTGTGGCTCGCTTTCACAGGCAGTACCCCCCACGCCTCTTATTCTGAGTGGGCCTCTGTGGGCTCTACTCCGTGGAGGTGTCCTTCGGAACTTCCCCCGCCCCCGTGCCAGGTCGGCGTGTCTGCGGACCTGTCCGGGCTGTGGTTGAAGCTTGCCGGCAGCTGGGCAGAGGGCCCTAACCCTCAAGAGGGGCCCCGGGCATCCCCCGGGAGGAGCCAGGGCCCACCTAGAGGAGGGAAGCACCTTCTGACGGTCTGTTGTGAAGGCCTCACAGACTCCGCAACTGCCGCACGGGGCGAGGCTCCTTTGTCAGCGATCCCTGGGAGGCTCTGGGACCACCTTGCAGCGGAAGCCAGGCTTGTGCGCGCAGTCACTCTTCCGCCTGCCTCTGACCCCCCTCCCCGAGGTGAGGAGGCCGTGGGCACTCGCCCCGGAGGAGAGTGTTGGGACAGCTTTAAGACGGGAAGAGGCAGAGCAGCTCCTCCGCTGTGTGTGTGGCGCTGCGGTTGCCTTGCCGCCTGAATACGGCGAGGTGATTCTGCTACCAACAGAGCTTCACTTGGCCCAGACCTGGAGTGGAGACAGACCTGGGTGCGAGGCTGCAGGTGGCCAGAGGTGCGCGGAGCCTCAACACGGTGTGCTTGTGGCTTAAGGGGCGCACGCAGACCCCACGCCCCCGCAACCCTGGGCGTGCCTCCTGGCCTGGGGTCATTCGTGGGGACGCTTGCTTTCTTGTGCGGGACTCAAGATGCTTTGTTCTTTGCAGGATGAAACCGGTGCCTATTTAATCGACAGAGACCCCACCTACTTTGGGCCCGTGCTAAACTACCTGAGACACGGCAAGCTGGTCATTAACAAAGACCTCGCAGAGGAGGGTGAGTTGGGGACAGGGGCCTGGTGGGCAGGAGGACCTTAGGAAGACCTAAGATACAGACCCCTCTGAGCCTGAGCTGCCCTGTGAAGCACAGGCCCCGTGTGCTGGGCCCCGAGCACCCCCATCCCCGCAGAAATCCCGGGTGCCTGCGTCCCCTCGCTGGCTCCTGGCGGCCTCACAGATGTGCCCCGTGGGGCAGCAGGCGTGTGTCTCCGAGAGATGGGGCCGGCTCGCTGCCTCTCCCCCTGTCTTCCTCCGGAAGCGGAGACTTCGTGGCCTGCTACAGTTGAGGGGCCGGGTCGCCCCCCCCCCCACCGTGGGCGGCTCCAGGGGCCTGGTTAGCGATGTGGCTGGGGCTGGGGCTCCTCCCCCCGGACGCCACTAGTTCTCACCGCTGCTTTGGCTCCGGCGGTCACAGACACGCCCGCCGTGGGAGCCCTGGGGACTCCTCGGTCTGGGTGCGCTCTCCTTCCAGGGCAGCACTGCGCCCTCGGCTCCGACTCCTGTCTGTGCTCGACGTTCCGTGCGGTCGCAGCAAGTAGAGATGCCGGGAGCGGCCGTTCGCGCGGCTTAAAATGTCACGAGGGCCCCGCGAGGTCCAGGGCGCTCTGGCTCCGGCTGAGACCGAGGTCCCGTGACGAGCGCCCACACCGGACTGGGCTGCTGCTTCCACCCTCGCCGCTTCCGGGTCGTTTCTTTTCCGGGCCTCCAGACCCGGGTCGGCGTCTTCTCTTGAAGTGACCCTCGTGGACGTGCACTCGTGTCGGTGGCAGTGCCTCCCCTTTGTGCTCTGCTCGTGGAGCTCTACAATTGCAGACGAAACTTCCCTGCACGGGCTGTTTCTGAGGGGGCTGCAGACAAGCGGCTGCCGCCCGTCTGCTCCTGCGAGCACAGCACACGTAGGGTCCCTGTGCGGGAAGGGGCCGCCTGCCCTTCAGGCCGTGAAGCCCCCC